TGGAGGCAAAACTGATGGTAGTTGCCAGGAAGCAAGGTCGCAAATCCTTCTGTTTTGTTCTTTCAAAAACTGCTTGCTGCTGCATGGAACTGTTGAAGTCATTGTGGGTACTGCACGCTTCCTTCTTTGTGACAATAGCTCACAGTGCTCAGTGAGACCCAGAGTGGTCTGTTTGGCCAAACATCTCACTATCCGTGGTGATCACAGAGGAATATGGGGTTTCTGCGACTCACTTACAGGAACTATCTGACAAGATTATCAAAGAGTCTGGCTGTGGCCTGAGGTAAAGGACATTCAGTAGCTTTTGCCACACAGGTATTATTAAGAATGTTTTTTTAGTTTCTTCAGTTCTGAAGAAGGTTTGTTCCTGGCAGGCTAGTTCCTCACAGGGCTTTCTCACGTGCTTCTACCATGCTGACTCTGTAGATGGGGTGAAGTCAGTCTGATGGGTTTGGCCTTCTGGGCCACTGGGAGGGTGGACGTGATCTTGTCTGTAATGTGCTTCACCATCCCTGACATAATCTCCATGGTTTCAGGAGATCATCATGATCTGTAGAGGCCATGTAAAATTCACAGATGGTGAATTAGAGTCAAATCATCTGGAACTGGCATTCAATTTCACAAACCGGGACAATGCCTCTGCTCACCAGCATCTTATGGCAGAGTTCTGGAGCAATTCTTGTATGTAAGTTCATGTCCAGCTTATTTAGCGAGGTGATGAAAAACTTGGGCACATCTCCACTAGAGATGGCATTCATCCTAGGAATTTCAATGTGTAGGAATCCCAACTTACCAAAATCTTCTTATCCATGTGATGCTATTACTGTGGATGATAAATTTTTTCTTTCCAAAGTCATTCAGGTCCAAGCCCAAGTACCTCCAATGATGTGTTTGTCTTTGAGGCCAAAGTGAGGATTAGGTGACCTATATGAGCATTGAGGCAATAGTGTCATTTTATGGAGAATGACGCTCTGCAAACCCTCTTCTTTTTTCCAGGATTCTCTCGAACTCCAATTATGTCTCCTAAGGCAGTCTGTTATTGATATAAATTCTTCTGATTTAAAATTCCTTGAATTGGCCATGACTTGCAACTTCACCTGTACTCGAAGGGCACAGAAGATGAACCTCCAGGGCACTTCTGGCATAGAGACTACCTACCCCTTAAGGTGATGTTGGTCAGGTGGTCTGCAGGTGCAGCAAGTGAGTAGGTCTACATGGAGCCTGTGGGGTGCGGGTGTCCTCAGCGCTCAGCATGTGGTGGGAGCTCAACTGTGGTCTTGCAGTGTGGATGGGGGTCCTGCAGTGTAGACGGGGTCTTACAGTGTGGATGGGGATCCTGCAGTGGGGATGGGGGTCCTGCAGTGTGGATGGGAGTCCTGCAGTGTGGATAGGGGCCCTGCAGTCTGG